CAAGAGGTACAGGGGCATCAGGAGTGTCCGAAAGAGTGGTCTAAAAACAAGGCAGGGTCAGAATGGGGTGCGGTATCAAGAAGGGGCCCGGGGGTAGTGGTTCAAGGATTTGGGGTCTCATGGATTAGGTTACTCCTTTGCGTTTTAGAAAAAGAAGAAGAAAAAAAAAATAAAAAAAAGAATAAAAGGGGGAGCGGGGAGGAATAGTTCCCAGGAGGAATGAAAGGGCCGGAAATCTCCCTCCGCGCCCAAGAGGACCTCAGCACCACTAGTAGTGCAGATGCAGCATGGAACCTGTGCCATACCCTACCCTTCATGCCATAAACCAGCAATCCGGGATAGCAACCTCACATCTGCCGGGCTACCTCGGTGGACAAAGAGAGGGGTGGCCGGATATCCGCCACAAAGCATACCTCCTTCGGCCACCACCCCGGAATCCAAAAGGTGGCTTACCAGAGATACACCCGTTGCTGAAAGACACCAAAGCTACTCCGGGATACCGGAGAGGGATCGGGACATCCCCAGGCGATCCAGATTCCACAGCAAACTACGCCACCGCCAAGAACCTCAACGGAATGGGATGGACCCCGGTATCCTTTCCCCTACCTAGGAACTAGCGCGCCTATGGGAGAAATCCCAAAGGCCAAAAAGAGGAAGGGCAAAAGGGAGGGGTGGGGAGGAGGAGGAGGAAAGGAAAAAGGGGAGGATGGGATAGGGAGGGGGGATTGGGGGGTAATTAGGTTCGGTCTGAGGAAGGAGACCGACAGGTCTGATTCCTCAGACCAAGAGCCTCTTCACCACAACAAGGAGCCCCCCTTGAAGAGGTTCAAATATATAGGAGTAGAAACTGGGAAACCAACATTTGGAGCCCTCCCCTGGTTCCTTGTGATAAGTATGCATGCTAGTTGCAATATAGGTGGCAAAACATTAAGAGCATGAGAGATGAAATCATGTGGCTGGGATGCTGATGTTTTAGTGTAGTATTGTAGTCAGTCAGATACTGTTTTCATTAGCAAGCCGTGGACCTAATCCTGGTAACTTGGAAATGTTGTAATTCTATTTGCTTCTGTATGTTAAAAAAAAAAAAACAACAGTCTGTGAAGTCTTAGTGTGAGGGATAACAATAGTTTCTCAGCATGAATTGAGGGGAGAATGTCAGTGTACTGCCACTGAGGTCCTACCATGGTGTGGAGATCCCTTAGTATATTGGCTACTGTTTTTCTTCTTCTTCTTCTTCTTGGAGTATATAGGACCACCGAGAATTTATGCAACATCGAATCCTGCCTTCCTGTGTCCAGGTAGAAACCACATCCAAAATGGGAGGAAAAACGACAAGCAAAGATACATATTATATGGCCTTTATGTACCTCAAAGCTAGTAGAAAGGTACAAGTACTGGACAAAATATCATGACAATCAAGAGTTAATTCTTTCCCATTGGGTAAGAGTGGTAGGGTCAAGGACTCAACCTCAAAGGTTACACAAAGCAGAGTGCACATAGAGTGGTAATTGGGGCACCACAGAAAGAAGTGCTCCACCATCTCTGGCAGATGATGAGTGTCATCCAGAAGCAGTGCAGATGAGCCACCAGCCATGAATGCCCCACCTAGGGGCAGATCAGAGCTACACCACTGACCAATTAGGATGATGAACCCAAGGGCAGGGGCCACTGAAAAGACCAGATTAAGTTCAGTGTCAAGGAACAGAAGGAGCATACCACATCTCCCTGCCAGAGTCAACAGATCTCCCACAAGAGCCCCTTTGTGCACTCTGGCCCAATGAATGGGAGTTGGTAGTAGGGAGTGTGTGTGCAAGGGAGGCTGTCCCATCACTGTTCCATATGCCAACATGTGCTTGTACCCACTGAAGGGAGATGCTCCAACTCAGGTTCCTCAAGAAGTGTAAAAGAAGCTGTCTCACAGATGAGGAGATGAAGGGACTGTGGACAGGCAGAAGATAGAAGAGCAGGGGAGGACTGAGAATCAGGGAGGCAAACCACAAGCTGAGGTGGAAGGTGAGAGAGGGCAATAAGCAAGACCTGGTGAATGGCAAAGAGCTCCCTTCTCAGGACCCAATGAGAGGGGTCTAACTCCCAGGTTTGATGCAGAGACAGATCAGTGAAGAATGCAGCTGAGGACATAGGAGGAGGAGGAGGAGGGAAAGTATGTGCTGAGCTGCCCACGAAGACGGAGAATGAAGAACTATATTTGGCAACATGAAACTCTTCAAAGAGAAGTACTGTCATCTGGGGAATCTTCCTGTTTTAATATGGTCAATCCAGGTGAATGCATTCCTCTAGGTCCACCCATGGTAGGACCAAGGAGTGAAGAGGTGAGACAGCCAGTGCCAGCTCAAGGAGTGAGAGAGGGGCTAGAGAATGGTGGGCCCTAGCCACAAAGAAAGGCTGGGTTAAATGTGGAGGAACAGAGGCTGCCACTCACACCTGTGAAGAGGTGTCAGGGATGAACAAAGGACAGAGGCCATATATAGAATTGCAAGCA